TATTATAGCAATTATGGATAATATAACCAAATATTAGAATTCAGTATGTTTCGAAACTAATTTATATCAAATGCTTTTCAAAGTTAATTCAACAGAGTTTTGTCTGAATTTCACTCGTGTATATCTCATAATATTTACAACAGATTTCTTCGTACCTAAAATTTTAGCACTATTGTTAATTTCTGCAATTTTTAGCTATTATTGTATTATAAAGTCTTCTTTACTAGTTCTCAGAGTAATGACGACGCACCGTGAAACTTTCTCAAAAAAAAATCTGCGCCACCAAGCTCGATAAGTATACCAATTCATTGTCGTCTGATTGATGTGCATCATGGTCGGAACGGTCAATCAATACCTAAAACAGGTCAATTTTTCGATTCCTAATGACATAAAAGTATACGAGCTTTGCAATAAATATTTTTGTAATGAAAAAGTTTCTATCTATTAATAATAAATTCATCATGTGCTTTCATTTGATATATATAACTCTTTCGAAAATAGCAGAAAAATTTTTCGCGCGAGTACTCCTATAGAAGGATACAAAGATATACAAAATTCTTAATTCTCATAAAAGATCAAACATATATTTAATCTAATGGAACTTCGTATACTAATTACATCTGTCTAGTTAAAATCGAAATTCTTTTGGAACAAAATAAAATTAAAAAAAAAACATAATCTGTTGTGTAATAGTCCATTCCTCTAATTCACACCAAGGGTACGAACGTGAAAAGTTCTTTTTACCATTTTCGAAAGATTTATATATGTCAAATGAGAGGACGTGATGAATTTATTATTATTGATAGACAGAAATTTTTCATTACAAAAATCATATACTTTTCTGTCCTCAGAAGTCGAAATAGCGATATTGTTAGGCATCGCTTTGTTAATTTCACCACGATGCACACCAATTCAGAGGATAATCAATTGGTATACTCATAGTACTTGATGGCATAGAATTTTTGAGAGAGTTGTACGATTGATTGCTTTTGTCCTGAGAAGTAGTATTGACAAATTTAAAAACATTATAATGGTAAAAAATTTCAGCGGCTACTAAAGATAGTATGATTTTGCGTGCAACCAAAGATATTGTGAATATTATTAGATATACACGATTAAAGATGAGGTGAAACTCTATTGAAGCAACTTTAAATAAAATTTGATATAACTTTAATTTGGAGACAGGCTGAATCATTATGTTTGGTCATATAACCAATAATTGCTATGGTATCACTTAGCTGATCTATGGCTTTTCAGAACATAAAAACTTGATGAAAATGCAACTCCCCATATACCATTCGATGTGCCATGAGTTGCTCTATAAAACGGTATAGATGGCTTTTCAAATGAAGAATAGTCATCTTATTCAAAACGAGTCCTTTCTGTTTAGTCAAAATATTTTAAAAAGTTTTTCAATTATTTTACCTGAAACGCGTTATAAAAAGAATTCGTGGTAGAAATGTTAATCGATATTGATATGCTAAAGAAAACCTTACAAAAAAACAAAAAACATTGATAATATAAGTTATGATAATAGTCATACCATCCAAAAGCAGATTGTGCATAAGAATTATAATAAAAACCTTCTTTAAGTAATTCTAAAGGTACATTTTGTGTAATATTGATTGAACGTTCTTCAAGTGAATCTTCTTGTTGTAAAAGAATAAGGCCAGCAGCAACGTCACTTGGTACAAGATCAACTCTTTCATTATCAAATAAATATTGTAAAGTTTTAACAATATTTTTTATATTGGATGATTGTCCACCTAAAAATAAAAATACACGATTGTTTAGAAAAGAAATTAATTTTTTTATTTTTATTCTTTATTTATTACCATAACCTCTTCCACAACAAAAAATTAATTTTATTCTCATTTCCCATTTTTTTTCATCAGTAACAAAACCAGTTAAATCAATAAAAAATGCTAATACTATAAATAATGCTATAGCAACAGTCCAACTTAAAACTATTGTTGTTACAATTGTTGCACGTAAAATAATAGCACACATATGAAATACTCTTATCATTATAATTAAACCCATTATATTAATACCAATATCAATTAAAACAAGAAATAATCTTATATAAATTAATAACGGCATGTGCCGACGTGGTCGAGTATCTCTTACGGGTGTTCCTCGTAAACTAATAATAAACATGAATGATGCTGTAATTGTTATAGCTGTATAAACACTTAAAAGTGGATAAAAATAGCCATTATAAAATGTTGATGGGCATGTTGAATCGGGTGATTCATCTTTTAAACGAAAAGCAATAAAAGTCACTAAGAGTGGCAGTCGAAGACCAATGTCGATTAATGATGAAACTGTTAAATCATCAGAAGCAAAATTAAAACGACGACCAAACAAATGAATACCAGGCATAAGTTTTTTAGATATCCTAAAATAATATTTATCAGATGCCAACGAAAAGTTTATTCACTTCAATGATAAATTACATAAATATTAACTGAATCAAAGAGAGGGAAAAAAGAGAGCAACAGCTTGTTATTCTATATACGTTTTTAAATATTCATTTTTCTTCGTTCTTTCACCAAGTATAATGAATAATACTAATGTATTTGAATGATAGGTATGATGACAGAGGAAAAGAACAGTACTGCCACTTGTTATTGCAGATAAATGTCAAAAACATGTTACATGATCATATTTCCATAAGTGCACTGGTTTGGTTAGAGAAACAACAATTCTTACAATATAATGTCAGAGATGACATTTTTCCCTTGTTAGTAATGTTGGTCTCTGCAGGTTATTTATATCAGGCATGATAAGGTTTTCTTGCTTTCTCTGAAACTGTAATCAAAATATATGAAATACAAAACGTTGGTCAAAACTTCATATTTTTTAGTTTTTTTTCGCTTAATTCCAATGAATTTCGAGATCTATGCTTTGCATTGGACAAAATCTAAGAATGGATTCAGAAATAATGTTCAAAACTAATCACAATTTGTATGAAAAATCACTAAGAATTCGGTAATTTTCAATACTGAACATGTGTTTTTGTAACCAACGAAACACCAATTCTTAGAATTTCTAATCAATGATTAGAATATTTCGCGTATTAAAAATTATCGGATTTCTAGCCATTCTTCATACACTTTGCGATCAATGTTAAACGCTCTTTCTAAAGATATTCTTAGGTTTTGTCGAATGCAAAACACAGATATCAAAACTAGTCGGAATTGGTCGAAAAAGAACACTAAAAAATACGATTTGTTTTTTTGAATTTCATGTCTTTCGATTACAGCTTCGGATAGAACCAGAAAAATTGATCATGACTGATATTAAAAGTTCACACTGACCTACATTCTTTAAAAATCTATACAATTTTTCTGAATGACACTTCCAGATATTTTTTGTTTTGATTAACCCTTTGATTACGGAGCACATATATGTATACAGTTTGAGCTTTTATGCAGAGTATAACTTCTGAAATCTACTCTCTTTTTCTTCTACTGTAAGTATCTTAGCATCATTATATGTTATCACTGTAAATGTAGGTCAAGTGAAAAAGAAGGAATGTCGGATTTAATGGTCTATGAGAAATCATAGTCTTTCTATATCTAAAATCGTTCAAATACCTATGAAATCAAAGAAAAATCTGTAAAATTGTATCTAATTCTAGAAAAACTTTCGCCCCCCCCCCCCAAAATTTACGATTACTGCTGAAAGTCTTATGTTACAAAAGATTAGATATTCAATTTTATGAGATCTATATTATGATATGAAACTATAGGATTATTCATAGAACTATACAAAGGATTTTACAAGATTTTAGGCAAATCTAAAAGTACTGAATTTTATAGTGTTGGTTTAAGTCTAACAGAATTTGTTGCTTTCCTTTTATGTATATAACTCAATTTTTAATTTCTATAAGCAAACAAACATTTTTTTGTCTTCATTGCAAAAACTTCGTAATCAAAGAGTTAAGAATCATAGATTACTTGGAATAATTAGTTTTCCAAGTCAATAAACAAAACTAGAACTAGCTAATACAGTAAATAAGTTTTTGAAATATTATATTATGTTTATAAGATAAAACTTTCTTATCTCTTTATTTAAAAACAAAATCTGATTATAATTTTTTGCTGATTATTCAATTTATCAAAGAACAATAAAAATTTTCTGTCAAATATTCGAATAGTCCTATGCCTTAATCTATAAATAAACAAATAGATTGACATGATGTTTATAATTATCAATGGCATAATCTATATTCTGTCATTTACTGATTAATAAATTGATTTTATCATTAGTTTATTAGAATTATTCTAATCGACACTACCTTTCAAAAATAAAATAATAATGTTGTAAATATTTACAACATTTTATAACATATTCGAGGCAGCCATTAAATTTTAAATTAAATCGAAAAGCAAATCATCTAAAATAAGATTAGAACAAATCCTAATATTTATTAAATTTCAATTCAAAACGAAAAAAAAATTCAATAATACTTAAAAGTATGATTCTTTTCTCTACTATCTTCAATCTTATAGTATATTTAAATTTAAAACGATATGGATGTATTTAACAACATTGTGCAAATAGTTAAAGGTGGGTAAAAACTAAGCAGATTTCATTGTCTTCAGTCAAAATGAAAGAGTCATAAAAAAGTTTTTTTTTTCACATGAATCACGTTGACTTTGACTAAAGACGTTTCGTTTTGTTTGAAGTATGTTATTAATCATCAAACATTATTACATAGGCAAGAATAAATGAGCTTGATCTTTTTTTAGAATGAAATAAAAAAATGACGGCCGTCTTGTTATTATTTTGTTTTTCTGTTTCATTCTACACGTAAAATACAATTATTTGAAAGAATAAAGATTTAAATATGATGATTATAATTTTATTACAAAGACGAACAAGAAAAAGAAACATGCTAATAAAAATAAATTCTTGACAAAAAAAGAAAAGTTTATTTCACAATATTGAGATTCATGATAAGAACTAGTCAATTCATTTTGCTTTCATTTTCAATTAATTTTTTCTAAATATTCCAAATCATCTGCTTGAACATGTGAAAATAATTCTTTTCTTAATTTTGTACTTGATACACCATTTGTATAAGGTAAAAATTTAACAGGCATTAATTCTTCAACAACATGTCTTGATGGAAAATCTGCCATATCATCACCACGTACATAAAGTGCTGTTTCATTTTCACGTAAATGTACAACACATTTAACAAAATTTGACGGATCTGTACCAGCAACACAATAAACTTCATCAGCATAACGTTTAACATTAAGCATACGTGTTTCTGTTCCATCGATTGGTACACGATTTTTTAATTTTTGAATACTTCTACTATCATGTACACCAACAATAACTTCCCGACCAAATTGTCGCATACGTTGAAGAAGTAAACGATGACCTTCATGAAATAAATCAAAACAACCAATAGTATAAACTTTATCAGCTCGACCATCAATCCACATAGCTGGTAATGATGAACTACGTTGAAGAGTATAGGAATAGTCTTGTGGACCTTCAGATGAAGATGTTGAACTACTACGATCACTTTTTTCTTCTTCAATATTATTAATATGATTGACCAATGGATTTGGTGCACCTTTTGGAAGACTAGGTGATGCACGATCATTTGTTATACTTGATGTACTTCCTGTATTTGATGATGTATGACTTGATTGAGTATTTAGACGTCTTTGTTTTTCATTCTAAAATAGAAGAAAATTTTTTTATCATAATTGATAAATATTGATTTATTTTAAATAAACTTACTTCTCGTTGTAATGTATCCAATGTCATTGCTCGATTACGGAATTTTTTATCAGTTGATGAATTATATGCATTAATTACTGCAATTGTTTTATTAATAGATGGTACTGATGATGAAGCATTTTCTGATGTTGAATCAGCAGTTATTGTTTTCTTTCTTGCAGTAATTGTTTCTCGTGCTTGTAATTTTTTCATTAAGGAAGCATAAGCTAATCGAATTGTTAATGAAAAACATATTATACCAGTCATACCAGCTAAAAAAGAATTAAGATTTTAATGAAATGAAAAAAAATAAAATAAGAAAAAATTTTCAACTTACACCAATGATTAAATGGTGAAAGATAACCAGTTGATAAACATAAAAATGCTAAACCCATTGATTCAAGTTTTTCTTTTAATTTTCCTTCCATTGCAGCTGCTGTTGAATTTTGACCAGATGTTCTAAAAAAAAATTTATTTAATATATATTATTTATCTATTTAAATAGAATAACTTACTTATTTTTATTAAGACTCGCATAAAAATAATCTTGTACACGAACAACACCGATAGCTGTTTCAAGACCAATAATTGTGTAACATAAAAGAACAAATCCAATTGAAATTAATATTGATGTTTGTTCAAAATGTGTTTCTTGTACAATAGTCCATAGACAAAAAATATTAACTATTTTATCACAGAATGCATCCATAAAACCACCTAATAAAGGATCATCAACTTTGTCACCATAAAGACGTTTTTGTACTTTTGCAACAATACCATCAACATGATCAAGAAAATCATGAAAAAGAACTAATAAACATGCCAAAATTGGGCAATTATATCTATTGAAAAGAAAAAATAATAAGATTTTTATTGATGAACTTTTAAAAATTTCAAATAAATATTTACTTAAGACACCATGCTATTGGAATGATAAGAAGTGTTCGTGAATATGTAACAATATTAGCATTAAATACGGTTATAGTTTTATCACCAATTCGAATAAAACGTGGAATACGAGCCATGTATGGTGAAAGATGAACTTGAAGTGGTGTATACATATATAAATCGTACCAAAGAACCTATTCATTATAAACCGAAGAAAGTGAATAAATTCATATAAACACAAAATGATTTTACTTACCATTTGAAACATAACAAATTCTATGGCATGACTGCTTGCTGTCAAAGGGATCATCAACAATTGAATTATTGACAATAGACCATGAAAGTCTAGAAGAAATATATTTTTAGAAACAGTTCTCATAAATAAATTAAAAAAATAATACATACTGGAATGAATATTTTTATTTTCTATGGACATCTTTCTTTTTTATGAAAAGGTTAAGACTGTAGAAATTTGTAACACAAGAATTCTATATAAAACTGCTTGCATCGATCTCCTTTTATAGGTCGCAAAATCAAAAACATAGATAACGATAAAACGTAGGAGCGCACTTTGTGATGATGACAATTTGTTCTAGTTTTATTAAAAAAATAGGTCAATGTTACTGATTTTAGCTGTTGGACATTTAAGAATCTCCGAAAGATTTGTTTATCATATGTTTATGATTTTCGGATAAATTTCAAGCTGTTTCAAAGTCACATATCTTTCATAGAGATTAGATTTTTATGACAACAGTTTTCTGTTTACTTTAAAGTTGATCTTCTAAGTAAGTTTTTAATAGATTTGCCGCCAACTCAGTGTGAAAAAATACCATATGTTTTGACAAAAATACTACGCATATGAAGCATCGTGTAATTATCATACGATATTATTATAATAAGTATTTGTATAGAACAAAATTAAAAGGTCATTTCTCACCTAAATATGCTTTTTTTTATTTCGGTCATTGATATTATGATCGCTCAATGATAAAGAATTTTTTTCTAAAATAAAATTTTTACAAACAAAACGAATACATAATTTTTTACAAAAAAAATACATGTCATGATAAATGTTAAAATAACGATGTCTGTCACAATACATATTCATTTCTTTTTAATTTTGAAAGGCAAAATAAGTTTTCTTTTTTTTTTTTTGAAAGCTTTAAATAATACATTGATTTGTAAAAAAAATAGAATCTGACATATACAATACAACACAATACAGAAAAAAAAAATAGATCGATTAATTTTATGTATAAACACGAATAACATCATCAATTCGTTTCCGACAAACTGGACATGGATCTTTTCGATTATATAATAAACGTGCACATTCATAACATGTTACAAAATGATTACATGAACGTATAACTGAATTACGTGGTCGATCCATACAAATTGAACAATCAACATTTTCATTTGTCATTGAATTATTACCATTATTATTTCCGCTTTCGACTAAATTTAATAAAAAGAAAAAGAAAAATAATAATAATTAATAAAAAACAAAATTTAATTAGCTACTTACTTAAATCATTACGATTACCACCATGATCAAATCGATTTGATGGTGTCAAACCCGGTAATGTTCGACCACGAACTACCATTATTCCACTACTCTTTTTTAATGATTCAATACGAGCTAAAAGAAGATATCAATTGATTTGAATCGCGTTTTTTTTTTGTCTATTGTCTAAAACAAAATACCTTTTCGTCTAATTTCTCGTTGTTCTTCGTCGAGTATTAATGGATCAGGTGATGAACGAAAATAAAGAACCTTGTCCATTCGTTCGAGTAATTTTCGTACTTAAAAATAATTAAATTTAATTAAAAAACAAACAACATAAATTTAATATTTTACAGGCAGATATGGTTTGTGTACTTGTTGATTTCGTTGGATTAAGTTCGACTTCAGGTACATAATAAACTGGAAAAAGAAAACGTGCACCAACAAAATTCTAGATGAAAAAACAAAACATAACAAATATTAAAGGTGACACATAATTGTATTTGTATTAATGTACTTCTTTATGAGGTAAATTTTCTGATATTTTGTCTAAATCTAATCGCATTGTATTTGAGCATATGATTACATTAGGTGAAGCAGATTGAGAAGCTTCTGCAATAATAAAAAAAACAATGGAAAATATTATAAATATTGTAAAAGTTTTGTATTAATTTAATTTCTTCAATATTTCAATCAAGGAACATTGTAAAATGGAAATTTTCTTTTTAAAAGATAATCCAAAATATCGTCTACAATTCTTTTTGTTGGCAAAGTCTATTCAATAGAACAATTTATTTCTTCAAACAATTCTAATCATTGAAAAGTTTTTTTCTAAAAGAAAACGTATTGTCCTATTTTGTTCTTTTCGAAAGCAAATACTTTCAAATTCAATTATATGATGAATTGATAGCCTATTAAAAATTGTCGATCATGTGTTGTTGAAAAACAAAAAGTTTACTTGTTAGAAATAAAAGAATATATTCGGGCATTGAAAATTGTCGAATGCATGTGATTATGATTGAGAATTATTTTTTTATTATTAAAACAGAACACTTGTAAATACTCTATTAATTCAACAGTTACAAGCTAAAATTTGTTTGATATATTTTTTTTTAGAAAACAAAAGATTGAATAAACCGGAATTTTTTCAAACCTAATGGAAGAATTTTCAACATAATTAAGCAGGTTTCTTATTACAAAATTTTATGATTTTGTCAAAAGTCAATGCATATTTTTTCATGTTGTATATGTGTTTTTTAAAGATTTAAAATAATAAGTACATAAGAAAAATGGCAATATTTTGAATTAGAAAAGTTCAAAAACAAAGTCTGCAAAGAACGTCATCGGTTATTTTTGACAAGAACAAAACAAATATCAATCATCAATGTTTCTTCACGACAATATTGAAAGAATAAAATTAATTGAAAAAACGATTAACACGAATTAAAAAGAAAAAGTTGAGTATTGATTAATATCTTGATAATATTAATGTAATAATTGTATCTTTATATGATGTCAATTCTTTTTTTTTATATCAATTCATAATCATGCAGTAAAAAATCTAGAGCATCTTTTTTAACCTATTTTTTCTTTTCTGAGGCAAAAGATACTGATCAGGATAAGAATCGTCTCAAAGTATACCTCTCAAACTCATTCGCTTTCTATCGCATAACGTACTTTTGCTATGACAGGTAAATTTAACAAAATTTTCTGGTATTCTTCTTTGTTTATCTTTTTCTCTAGAATGACTTTACCTAACGAAAACATATAAATATTACCTTGATTATATTTGCTAATCATGGCTTGACAAAGAAGTCAAAGTCTACAGGTAAAGTGTAACAGTGTTCTTCTTCTGACCTAATTCTAATTCAAAAGAATGAATTTCTTAAGTCGACCATTTCTAGTGATAGTTTCAAGAACTTTTATTTCTGTCTCTATTCTGTTATAAAGATAATCAAATATTTCATTCATTGTGTTTTTATCTAATCGAAATTATATTCTTACTTTCAAGTAATGCTTGTTTAAGTTCTAAATTTTCGATAATACATTCGAAAATAAATTCAACATCTTTAACAGCATCTTCAAGTCGATTCAAACATAATATTTGACCCTGATTAATTACAAAAATAAAGTAAAATTTATGTATTATATATTTGTAACTCACTAAAAATTTTGGTACTTCAATCAGACCATCACGATATAATTGATCTTCATCGTAATGAATACGCTCACATGCTGTATCCAGTTGTTTCAAATCGCTATCGAAAATCTTTACAATATGACCAAAGTAGGCAAAATTGCCTACGAAAAATAATCAAGGGTAAGAAATGACAACGAAAAAAAAAAGTCAATAATAAATCAAAACCTGCAATTCTTAAACCCATAGTCCCACAACCCAATACCGCAATTCGAACCATACTTATTTAATAATCTGTAAAAAGTCATGTATATGTACATATATGAATATAGAAGAGATTTTGTTTCTTGTTTGTTTTTACTTATCCTTCATGACTAATTTAAGTTAGCCAGACGGACACAGCGAAAAAAAGAAAAGAAAAGAAAAGAAATAGAGAATTACATGAAACAAATAACAAGCAAAAAAAGAAAGAAAAAAAAAACAATTGTTCCGTCCATTTTTTTATGTCTTTTATCCATTATCATAGTAGTACAGTATAGAAGAAGTAATACAACAAAGAAAAAGTAAACATGCACAAAAGAGAGAGAGAGAGAGCGAGAAGAGACAACAAGACAATGAGAAAAAAAAAATGACAATAAGAATTAATTATGCTTTTTTTCTCTTTAGTTTTCTCACAAATATAGAATAATGATATATGTTAGAATATATATATCACATAAGATAAACTTTATCAAGAATTGGCAGATGTATTTGTGCTTGAAAGAACATCATTAATACGTTGTTCGGGTAAAAGACGTTCAAAAAACGGATGTCGAAGAGCATCGGCTAATGTAATTCGTCGTTTTGGATCATATTCGAGCATTTTTTCAACTAACTCAAATAACTGTTGATGATCTGCTTCGTCACTCATCATGTAACGCTTAAATAAAACAAAATTAATATTATTAAGAAAAAAGAAAAAACAACAACAAAGAATTATCTTATAATCTTACTCTTATGGGTTTACAATTATCGCGTACATAACGACCAGCTGAACTACGTTCATCCCAATCTAAGCGACCATGATAGAAATATTTTGTTTTTCTAAAAAGAAAAAACAAATTCATAATGCTTGATTTTGTTTTTGTTCTTTACTTAGATTGTTTAGCCATTCGATATGGAATAGGACCGAGTATACGTTCCATCATAGCCAAATGCTCTTTATTATCATGAGTCTATAAAAATAAAAAAAATAAATAAAATCTTATTAATCAATTTATAATAATTTACTTGAAAGAGAGTAAAACCAAGATAAAGTTCGAATAGAATACATCCAACACTCCAAACATCACATGGTTGTGACCATCCTAATTCAAGTATAACTTCTGGTGCACGATAATGTCGTGTTGAAACAATTGTTGAATGATGTTCCCAATCAAATGTTGCTGAACCAAAATCAATTACTTTTATATCTGTTCGACGTACAATACGCTCATCTCTTCTCTAAATAAAATAAATTCATTTCAATTAAAATCAAATTTCTTCTTTTTCTTTTTTTTCTTTATAAAATCCCAGCAGTTCGAAATTTGAATAAATAATATTTCTCTTTTACTAAGATGCCAAAAGTATAACGCCTCGGGAATCTCAATATTTATCCAAATTGTTTTTTGTTTATTTTACTCATCATATAATATGGCGGAGGATGGAGAGAGGGAATAACGACGTGTTCGTTTCTCATGAAACAGCATCAAGCTCGAGCTGTCCCGCTCACAGCGTTATGTTTGCATAAATCTGTTTTGTTATACATGTCTCAAGCTACTCGTATGTCAATCGTCTATGCATCTTGCTCACATATCAAGGTGGTGTAGTTCTGTAAATCATCGCTCGTGACGCATGTGATCTGTATTCATTGTTTTAAGTTACTCTATGTGTTTGTGTTTTGCTTTAATTGCTTTCTTTCTTCGTCAAATTACTTGTAATCAACACTATATTCCTTTAGGCTTTGTCATGGATAGAAGGTTAAATAAACGGCAATTAATCAAAACATCATAGAAATGAATTGGTATTCAAAGGTTTGGATCATCAGAACTTTAGTTCCTAATGAAACGGATAGCATATTTAGAATCAACACAAATATATGCATCGATGAGTATACTCAATATTTGAAACTAATTTTTATCAAATTTTGGTCTTTACACCTTTTTACTTTTATTGTTGATTACTCAGATTTATGCTTCTTAGTGATGAGTGAGACCAATCAATCGTTTTATTTCTCGGTTCCGCCCGGACTGGGGCCATATCGCTCATAGCTAATCCTTCATCTAAGGTCGAAATTCGATGAAAATTAGTTATCAGTATTAAATATCTTATTCTCTGTAAATTTTTGTGTTGATGCTGAATATGATATTCGTTTCATTTGAAATCAAAATTCTTAGGATCAAAGTCTTCGAGTACAAGTCCGCTTTTATTACAATTTGCTATCATATCTAGACCTGGATAGTTCACAGGTCTAAGAACGGGTTTTTTTTTTCAACAACTGGGTCCGTTTACAAGTTCTTCTTTTAAGAACTGGTCATTACTACCAGCTCTTTCCTTAAGAACTGGCAACAGAGACCACTTCTTATCTTAAGAATTAGTGCCCAACACCAGTTCTTTTTTTGAGAGCTGGTACCAGAAACTAATTCTCTTTTTGAGAACTGGTACAAGAGACCAGTCCTTTTCTTAAGCACTGTGCTTGGTGGTAGAGATGTACCACTCACGCTCATGAGTGCTCCTATGAGTGTGAGCTTTTCTACTGTAATTCGAATATGCGAATCAACTATTGTAAAAAAAAAAAAGTATACTGTTATTCGAGTCATATAAAAGAAGGTCACGGATAAGCTCCGATCGGCTCAAACAATATTATGTTTTTTCCTTTATTGTATGCATAGCAAATAGTGTTGTTCGGGCCGATTAGAGGTTATCAGAAGTGCTCTTTCATATGATCCGAACAACAGTATATTTTGTCTTAACAATAGCTAACTTCCATATTCAAAGTGTAGAAGAAACGCTCAAGCTCATTTGAGCGTTAGTGATTGTGAACTGTACACCTCCACTTGGTTGCCGGTTAACTTGTTCTATCAATAAATGGCGATCTTGTGATATTACTCTGTACTTGCTCCAGTTGCCAAAAAACGAACTGATAACCATACCCAGTTCTTTCATTCAAAACCGATAACCAGTTACAGTTCTTTTCAAAAAAACTGTTTGTCAGTCCCAGTTTTTTGATCGGGAACTGTCACAGGTCTAATTATATCGAAAAAAATTGATTTTCTCAACAATATATAAAAAAAAAATTCGAATAAATATTGACATTACCGAGACTTTATGTTTTTAGCATATGTGAATTTTCATAGGCTTTTCTGATTTTTTTAAAACCTAACCTTCGCTACAAACTCAAATTTCGGAACCTCGGCACCATAGATGAGTACAGGACAGAACAGGTAAAAAATCCTTGTCCTGTACTCATCTCTAATATTTTTTCTTCTTGAAAACTATATAAACTTTATTAGTTAGAAAATATTAATTGGTGATGTTTGCTTTGTACAATGAAAGTAGAAGTAAAACTCACTCTTGGCATTTTACAACCTGTGAAAGCGGATTTAATTGGTAGAAAAACGGCAGAAATCGTGACGTCTAGTCCGGCCGCCCGCCGGGACAAAAACAGGACAGGACAAGATTTTTATTTTTGTCCTGTCCTGCCGCCCGCCAGGACCGAGATAGCTAGCAGGACATGACAGGACAGGAGAGAAAATCTTGTCCTGTGCTCATCTCTGCGCAGCACCTCAATTTGACATACCTTTCGATGATTATAAACAACATTATAATCCGAATCGACAAAAAGAATATTTTCAGGCTATAAAAATAAAAAGATAAATTATTTTCTAAATAAATAATTTTTTTCTTAAAGTGCTTACCTTTAAGTCTGTATGTGTCAAAGCAATTTCATGAAGAACTAAACATCAATTTTTTAATTATATGTACAAAAAAAAAAAGAAAAGAAAAATATTTACATTTGACAGCAAGGCATAATTGATATGAAATATGACGAACTTGATCGATCGGATATGGAATATAATTATTTTCTTTTAAAAAATCAAACACACTTAAACCTAACATATCAAAAGCAATACACATATGACCATAATAATCAAATGAATCTAGTAATGATACACATAAACTAAAAAAGAAACGAAATAAAATACTTTTAAAAGAGAATTTTTCTTCGAAAAGATAGTCTTACTTAACACTATCGGGATCTTTTTCTTTGATTGTTTTAAGTACATTAATTTCTAACCGGGCCGCTTCACGATATTTATCAACATTTTTTATTATTTTTAATGCTAAACGTGCATTACCATCACTAAAAACAAAATAAACTTATAGAAAAAGTAAACAATCAAATACAAATATTTTTATTTACCCGCGAAGATCACGAACTTCGACAACTTTACCAAAAGTGCCTTCGCCAAGTGTTCGACGAATTTCATCTATGATAAACATAATACAATATTTTCATAGAACAATATACAATATAGTGTCCTGCATGAGTACAATTTTTCGCAACTATAAATAGCATTAGAATTAAGGAGATCATCTCAAATTTCAAAAAAAGAAGAAACTGATTCAGAATTCACTTAGTATCTTTCTGCTTCTAAAATCTCATCAATTTCGCTAACGTAAGTAAATATTTACTTGTTGCTGATAATGCCAGAACGGAACGCAGTGTTGTTGTCAAATGCTATAATTGTGGTAATACACATGAATGTTTCTTATCATCACAATAATACATATTCATCTTATTGATAAATCATTTTGCTGCCTATGTATTCAGTTACTTTGTCATATGGTTCATTATTCTCTGTAGGTAAATTTTCATTAAAAGTGAATTTTTTAAGTAAAAAAAATGTTACTTTCAACTTCTATGAGTTGTTCTCAAGTACAACAAATTGCTCAAGTTTTCACTTCTGTGCTTTTATATAACTTGTCAGTTTGAAAAAGTAAAAAAAATATTTCGAAAGGTCGAAACCTCATTAATTGTCGAGTATGATCTGATACGTGGACTTATGAATCTTGACCAGGTCAGCTATCCGACCTGGTTGTAAGACACTAATTCAATAACATATAAAAAAAAAAAAAAACATTTCAAAATTGAAATTTGATTTTAATCCATTGTTTACTCATCGATTGATATAGAAGAATGCATTTGTCCAACTCCTTTGTAAACATTAATCTGATATTGAATATTATTATTCAAAAAAAAAAGCACTTATTCAATACCGAAGACTTCTAATTTCTGACTGACACTTAAAAGCACGATTGAGTTTTACTGAGTACATAAATGAATAGAGCACGAAATATCGGCTGAGAACAGATCTATTTCCTATGACAAATACTCAAATAATCACGCTATACATATATGTATATATATGACAAAAGATTATATCTTTTAGAAAGGCAAGCAACTAAAGCATCAAATATAATTATAGTCATGCATTCATCATGTTTGAATTATGCACTGATTTTTCATTTTACTATATTAAAAAAAAATTAAAACAATTTTTCTTCATTAATGATATATAGGTATTTCTATTCTATGCATTTTAATTCATATTTATTTATATACAAAGATATATTAGATTGCTAATGAACATCAAATGTGTTATTCATGTTGTCGAATTCTCATGAACTTGATAAGACAAAGCTAATATATATCGAATGTATGAACTAGATATCTACATCAAATGATGAACTATATTCAACCTAGAAAAATTTCATCTTATGAACATGCAAAAAAAAAAAACAGAACAAAGACTTACATTGACGATGTAGAATATCACCTAAACGAGAAAAAAGAGTCCCGATAAGTTTGTTAGAAGACATGATAAAATCTTATCGTCTATACCTGGAACATAAATCAAATGACCTTCATCATCATCACGAATATTGACATGGCCCGAATCACTTTTGTCTCGTCGATTCTATTTAAATAAATAATAATCGTTTAACAGACAGATTATTTAATATATTACAATATTGAACCTTTGCACGTAAATATTTTCTTACTTTCACTCAATGTCTTTCGAGACAAGAAAAAAAAACAAGAGAGAATCTAATCATCATTACATCATCTTATTTTACTAATAAAAAATGAAGAGAAAAAAAAACCGCTAAGTAGTAAATCGATACAAATTGCATAAGTTAAAAATTTATATGCATCTATAATCATGATGCGCTTCAACGAGTTTTTTTTTTCTAATATGGATCACCAAATAAAGAAGAAGGTCAAACATCTTTTACACGTGCCGATCTTTTGAATCAATATGACACACATACACATATACAGACAAACGACCGCTTAGGAAGTGTACGTGTTGTTTTTGTTGCCCATTGTATTCTTTTGTTTTTATAGATATTCCTACCTCAAGAATAATCGTTGATGATGGTATTGCATTAACTACAGGAGGTGTTTTTATTTGATTACATTGTGAATAAATTGTTGAATGTGATGATGGTAAATATTGTCGATATGTATAATATTCATGATTCGTACTAATAGAAGTATTTGATTTATTAGATGAACTTGTTGTAGCTATAGAAGAATTTGATGAATAATGTGCAGATGGTGGTAGTGGTGGTGCTGATGGCGGTGCAAGATAATATCTTGGTGAATGTTCTGTTTGTTCTTGTTGAACATCTTTTAATACTACACGAAGACCACTATTAAATTGTATAAGTCGCATATTGATTAATAGGCTTCTTCTTTTTTTTCAATTTTTATGTCATCAAATAAAATCATGTTTGTCAAGAAAATTTTTCATGAGTCTTTTTTCTTCTCTGAAGTTTTACCTTCATGAATCCAGCTAATACATAGAAATATATGTATGCAAAATATCGATTTGAGTAGAATGAATATAATAGATGATTGTATGCCTGTATATGTATATGTATGTATCGTACGTTGCTTCACCGATATGGATATGAAAAGTGTATATGTGTGTGTGTGTGAGTGAATATGAACGAATAACAATCTTTGTCTTTCCTCTTATTTCTTCCGCCAGCAAAAACTTTAGACGAAGGTCGTCGTCGTCAGTTTGCTGCTTGCTCGAAAATTATTAATCAAATTGACCAAGTGACCACTTCTACATCAACATATATGTGTTCTCTCTCTCTCTCTATTTCTTTTTTTTCTTCTTCTTCTTCTCTTCTCTTCTCTTTGCTTCTCGTTCTTCTTTATCATTTGTCCATTAGAGTTCAAGCTCACAATGCTCTAGTATAAGTACACGATGAATATGTTCACCATCTTTTCTTTTTTTCCTTCTTTTTTCTTTTTTGCCAACTGATCATCTGGACGGCTGAAAGGGCAGCAGTAAAAGAAGCTTCTTTTCTTTCTCTCGATTTCTTTTTTTTCTTTCTTTTTCTTGTTCTTTTCACATTTCAAGAATATTGAGACTATACACTAGTCCTACAAGCAAACTACCATTAGTATTTTTCTATTGTTCATCAGACAATTTAAAATATGAGAATGTTCGAATAGTAGAAGAAGAAAAAAGAAAAGAAAATGTGAGAAGTAGGATTATTTCGACCACTGACTAGTGTAGTGTCGTCTATTGGGCATGTGTGTATGTCATTCTCTGGGTTTTAGTTTTATTGCATAAGGGACATACATACAGAAAAAATTGTGGGGTCAATTTCTTTTCTTTCTCTTTTTTTTTTTATTTCTTTGTGAACGAATACTTATATGCGTAAGCAGAGACCTTTGACACGACATATCAAGGTGCCATTAACCCTCCCGTTTTGTTAACTGCTTATATGTATTTAAGAATATAAATATGAAGCACCCACGTATATGAATGACATAAATAAAACTTATCAAAAAAAAAAACGAAAATGAAAATAAAAAAGAACTTACTCTTTGATTTGGTGTTGATGTTGAGCGTTTATTATGATGATGACGATAATTATTATTCGTATGATTATTAATTACATTATTAGCTTTTTTATGCCGTTTTGATGCTGATGATGTACTTGTAATACTTTCAGCTCGTGTGGTTGCACCACCGGCGCCACCATTTCCACCACGACGATTTTCTGATGAATCATGTCGATTGTGCCGTCGCCTACGATGACGTTCAATTGATGAACTAGTATGTAAAGTATTACGAGGTGCTGTTGAAGAACTGCAAACACATGCAAAATAAGATTCATACATGCAGAAAATAAATAAGAATAAAATTAAAGAATATATATATATATATATATGTGTATATATATATATATCAAAGAATAGATCTATCTCAAACATAGGGTAGTAGCACAGCAATCATTTGGCTTCTCGAAAATGCACACACACAAATACGAGATTCCCACCCATCCTCAGCAACTGGTGGTACGATCGATCGAGATGGTGATTGTTCTTTTTCATTATGTGAAGCAACAAAATCAAGAAGTGAATTTGTTGTTGATTTTAATGTTGTTTGTGGTTGTTGTTTGTTAAGAGATGTTAATGAAGCAGATAAAGGTACAACAATAACAGGAGGAACTTTATTATTATTCGTATTATTAGTATAATTATTTTGTGGACTAGGTGATAATTGACCATTAGGTGTAGAGAAAACAACTGATTCGATAGGAGCAGTAGAACTATTTGTTGGAACAGGTGGAGGTGATGATGATGCTGGACTAAGTGTTGGAATAGGTGGTGTTGTTTGAAGTAATGGAACAACAGTTGTAGTTGTAAGTTTTTGATTCGATAAAGTTGAATTTATTGGAGATGATGCTGTTGTTACATGTGCATTAGCAATAATAACACTAGAATCATCTCCGTTAGTTGCTTTATCTTCTTCAAGTAAAGATAAATTTTCCATATTTGTAATAATAGGTTCTGTTTGATGTGATAGTGCTGTAGGAGCACTACCTTTAGCAAGTAAATATTTTTTAATACGTCGTTTAGATGAACTTGGTGTTTGATAACTTGGATATGAAGTTATTGCTGAATATGATGAGTTTTTATCTGTAATTGATGTTGGTTTACCAATATAACTATGATCATCATATGTACGATAAGAATTCAATGGATTTGTTATTGTTGAACCAACATAAGCTGAACTCGTTGATGCTATTTGTGATGATGGTATTTCTGTTGCATGCATTGGACTTGTTATATAATTTGTTTCATGATATATTGGTCGTGTATATTCTTTTGATTTTGCACGTAAATAATCATAATTATATGTCGGATGTGATATTGCTGAACTTGTTGTTGCTGTTGTTGTTGATGATGATGATGTTGGTGGTGGTGGTACAATAGGACGATTAAGATTTTCATTTATTGCTGATGATGATATTGTACTTGTTGGTAAATGATAATGATAATAATGTGAATCTTTACGTATAGGTGTTGTTGGTGGAATAATTGATGTTTGATAATCATCGTTTGGATTTGTTATTTGATCAATACGTTTATATGAATTAGCTTTTTGTAAATTTGTAGTTGAACGATTTTTTGAATCAGTTCGTCCAATCATTGTATCTTTAACACGTGTATTAAAAACAAGATCTTTTAATTGATCAATACGAGCTTTACGTTCACTTGGATTAGAAAATTTTTCTTCGGCTGTTAGTGATGATATTGGTTGTGCTGGTGGTGATTGTAAACGTGATGACGATATATGCATTGTTAAAGCACCACCTGTATATTTTTTTTTTGCTCGTGATGATGATGATGTTGTTGATGGTTCTGTGGTAATATCATGAGAAATATAATGTGGAGTATATTGTTGACGATAACTGTTTGATTCATTATGATGATATTGTGGATTTGAACTTGTATTATGTACACTAGATTGTTGTTGTTGTTGAGATTGCATTTGATTTTGTTGTTGTTGTTGTGATTGATTAAGTGAACCACGACGTTCACTTGGTGCTCTATCTTCATTATAAAAACTTACTAATGATTGAGCTTGATGAAATGTAGATGCAAATTTTTTTTTTAATTGTCTTGGTTTTGTTATATGACACCAAATAGGTGCAATATTAGCATATTTTCGTGCTAGTTGACTTGGTGATGAATAACTCCATGTTGGAGAAGCAACTATAGGTGCTGCTGTTCCATAATATGCTGAGTTACTATTATTATTATTCAATGTTGTATTTGTTGATGGTCCAATTAGATTTGAATTATTATTCATTGAACTTATTGGCATTGGTCGAAGCCGATATGTGTGACCGGTTGTGCTTGAACTGATATTGCTTGTCATTTTCTGCTTGTCTTATAACATTAGGATATATGTGTATATGTTTAGTAGAAGGGAAGAAAAAGCGAGGACGCTCTTTTACTCGTTTTTTCTGATGATTAGATAAGAATGAGTACTGGACTGAGAGAAAAAATACGCAAGAGATATGTATAGATGGATAGAAGACGAAGAAAAAAAAGAGACAACGCCTCCTTCTTTTCTTGCCCTAATAAAAGAGCGAGAAAAAGAAAAAGTGTTGATCTTCAGAAAACTTGCTCAGTTATTATTGTTGTTGTTGTTGCTGTTGTTTTTCCATTCCTTCAGTTCTTTTCTTCGGTATATTCATACAGCATCGATATTATGTACAGGATAGATTTTCTCATATGTTATATTCTTTTCTTCGGCTTTCTCTCATCTACAGAGTATATAACCCATATACACATATACATAGAGAGAAAAAAAGGAAAGAACAGGATAGAGATATTTTCAAAGTAATTATGTCTGTACTAAGGAAGATATACGCAGCACACGCGCGCGCGCAAGCGCTAGACTACAAATGCCTAGGGTACACGCACAGCGAAGAAGAAAAGTGTTATCCTGTGTGTGTGTTCTTTTGTACGCCTACATCATATAGTATTTATTTCTAAGCATTACTCTAGAAAAGAAGAAAAAGAAGAATATTCTAGTTTGTGACGAACATAAGTCAATTACATTGTTGTTGTTGTTTGTTATTGTCTCTATTTTGACGATGTAGAATAAGAATTAACGTCTTTTCTACTTGTGCACAACGACGGAAAGAAAGCTAATGCATGGTGTCGTTGTAGGAATAATTTTTACAATCAAGATAGACAATATGCAATGAGTTATAGGAAATAAAATAGACATAGACAACAGTCTTATTATTTTCCTACTGTGTAACTGAAGGTGAAATAAAATCCTTGTATCGATGCATGTGCACAAAGAGATTTTCTTACAAACATACTTTTCATTATTCTTATTCTTAAATTTATGCCGACGATGAGATTTTTCATATTGAAGACGTTGATATTTGTCACGATGGTACCGACAAAGATGTTGCTGTTCGTATTGATGTATCATTTCGCCAATTATATTATTGAATGAAAATGACAATATAATGCCAGTAGAATCATCATATAATTGTTGTGCAGCAATCATTATGTTTTTCACCAAGGTAAAAAACGAAAATGAAACGTTTCAATGTGAGAAACAAACACCGTCAATCGATCGATTATTGTACATATATTGTCTATGAAATGTGGGTTTTTTTCCTTTTTTTTTCTTTCATATTTATATAACTTGTATTATTATTAGGGTCACGCTTACTAATTAGTTAGGTAAGAGAAAACAAACAAGAATAAAAAATACAATAACGCTCCAAGGTATATCAAACAAAAAAAAAAAAAGAATGATTGCTGTAGCTACTAATAATAAATAATGTATGAGATCGTATATATTTAGCATGAATGATAGAAGAAAAAAGAAATCATTCGAGATAATTTTAATGTATACACAATGTTTGAAACTAATTTCAACAAAAATTATGAAAATAATATCTATTTACGTTTAAATTAAAGTTCGATACAAAAAGAAATTGACAGTAGAACTTTAGTATTTCATCTTTTTTTTTTTTCGTAATAAAACAGTACTAGCTTATGAATATTGAGATGCTTTTTATTCCTAATATACTAACGAGTCTTTATCGTTTAGATTTATCAATAGGATAAATGATCAATATCATTTATGTAGAGAAAATATAGAATGTTATTTTTATTGTTTAGATGAACTAACAAGTAGGCTGTAAAATGATTTGTAAATAGAGATCAAAGATGATACATAAATTCAGCAGTGATCGATATTTCTCAATAGAAGAAAATAGACTGTCGATCATAACAATGTTTTATCCAGATTTTCTCTTCGGCAAGAGAACATTAAAACTCCGATAGGGCAAACATCTATATTTGAGAGTATAGACATATAGTACGTGGTATGATAATCAAAAACTCTGGAAGGTTAAATCGATTTTCAGAGGGGCGCCGTCCTTTCGGCTCTTACATTAAATCATATTGACAAAAGGTTAAATCAAAATTCTGTCAAAAATTGATTATCGAACTTAACTAATATCTAATCTTTTTGTGTTTAGCTAGCAACAAAGAAGTTATTCGAAAAAAACTACAGTAATCCAGTGATGATGGGTCAGCCGATCGTCATACACCTCAACTGTTAAATCTGTTACTAAAATATATTATTGATGACTGTTTGACGAGAATCTGTCATCAATCTATGATGTATGACGCACTGAATGACTCAGTTATTTTTATGTACATGTCCTGATGAAAAATAATTATACATAAATATAAGAAATACGCAGTCGTTATAAGTCATTCTCAATGATAACCGAACTCTATGTTAATGAATTTGTATTCAAGGACGTAACTTCTTGGGGCGTGTCAAGCATAACGTTCTTCTGCTTCAGAAATTCGTCTATACAAAACATCTCGTACTATTGAAAATAACCTATTCAACGCTTCTTTTCCGGAACTCAATCATATAGTATCGTGCGCCATCTTCTATCTTCAGTGTTGAATAACATCTCTAACTGTTTGATTTACAAGTTTTAACAAAATTGAAATTTATGTTTTTCTTGTTCTACTTATGACTTATGTCAAATTCTATTTTTTTTGCATAAAATATACACAGAACGACCTTAGAAAATTATATAAGTATTGAAAAATAATTGTTTAACTTAGTGTTTTGTTTGAAAGTCTTGTTTTTGTTTTCTGTTGTGTGGACAACATTAATATTAACTTGTTTTCATTGTTGATAGGTTCTTCCTCTTAATCATAACTCTGTTCTATCTATCAATCTTTGTCATATACATTATCAAAAAAGCATTGAATAATAATCTTATATAGATCGAACTTTTTGAAACATTTGGCCTATTAACTTGGTTTAGTACAAATTTGATTTTATGTTGAAGAAGATATTAATCTGTTTTTTTTTTTTTTTTTCATTTGTCTAATACAATGACGCCAAATTTGACCAATATATATATATATATCTTTAGTATAATGCGGTTCAATGAATGAAAGAAATTTATCCAAATATTCATCAACACTGTGACCAGAGTTGACATTGTCATATCAGACAAAAGTAGATTTTTCAGCATAAAATCAAATTTTCATAAAACAGGTCAATTTAGTAAATGTCCGACTTATTGAAGATTGCTACTCAATGTATCTCAATACGACACATGACAAAGTTTGAGAGATAAAAATAGTGTTACAATTTAGAAGAAAAATTTATCAAAAACTAAAATAAGGTAACACTAATATAGTCCAAATGATACCAAAAAAAAAACAGGGCTTTCAAACAACACTCAAGATAAACAAGCATTTTCGACACTTTGGTTATGTAATTTTCTCGCCTAATTGTGTTTATCAGAGCTGCCGAAAAAGCAGTTGATATTTCTGATTTTCTGAACACTTTTAATTTTATAACTCTTTGTATTAATGCATCATTCTAGTTGTAGTTATTCACTTGATTTATTTTCATAAAGATAAATTAATAAAATATACTTGTGCGAAATAACACATTAAAAAACGGAAGACAATCCTCATAAATATTTTTTATGCAAGAATGATTTGAATTAACGCAACGTTTTTGATTGTATCAGTAGTGTTTCACTTAATCGAAAAAAAACTGTCATTATGATGGTAAAAAGAAGATTGATCAGTCATACGACGTAGGCATAATAGAAAATATATCACGAAAATATATGGAATAACTGATACTTATAATAACTGACAAGAACAGTTATATCTGACAATCATTTCTCATAGTAGCATGAAAGCTAAATTTCCTATCTAATTGTTTTGGATCTAAGCAAGTTCGTCTGTCAATCAATATAAATTCTACAAAACTCGATTTACGTCCGATTCACGCATTTGTTACTAAAATCGAATGAAATAGTCGACGTAGTTTAGCATAATACAGCAAAATGTGTTGACAGTTGATTTCCAAAATGGAAGAGGCAAGTCAACAACTACGGTCGGAACTGTCGGATTGCATGTTCTGATGTGTTATACGTTTCATGTAAACAAATCAAACATAAAGCAACTTTGAACTTCAATTTTTACTCAAATAGAATGTTTTTGTTTTTTTGTTAAATTTCTCTGCATACTTATTAGAGATCTACAAGGGAAGCTTTTTTCAGAGCTTGACTGAGAAAAATTTTCTTAACCTTACCCTATTCTGTTTCGTCGGACATCTACTCACCGTCAGTCAGAAAAAATCGATGGAAAAAAACGCGTGATTTTGTTTGAGACCTGTATTGAAGCTAACTAAATGTCTTACTAATAAATTCGATTTTACACAAGAGGTTTTTGAATTGTAAACTTGATTTGTTGGTCTTCGCTGCACATACTGCTATGTTTTGGGAAATCAGTTATTGTCTTTTCGAGGTTTTACATCGATAAGAAGAAAACGAAGTCAATCTTGACTCCGACTTTTTTTCCACCTTTGTAAAACCATAAAAAGACATGAATAGAGCCTTCAAAATACAGCAGTTTGTGCAATGAATATCAAAGCATGAAAATCACCATCTAAAATAACCTGTAATATTCAATCTAATTTACTCGTAAGCAATTTAGAACTTCGACCGTACCTACAAATAACTTCGATACAGATCGGTAGTTTTTATGTGTTACAATGAGTTCTTGGCTGATCGAGTACTCTTCCTTAACGCTATCCTAATTGGAAGACTCCATAAGTGATAAATAGTACAAATAGTATCACAGTAGAAATATTCAGGTAGAACTGTCAGGAGGTCACCACGATTGGAAAGGCACAGTGTGTATTTATCGCCTGACAGGCGGACATGTGACTTTGTTGTTTCGGAAACAGATGTCTTTGCTAAGAAATCATTGGGGATATGCCGCAGAAAAACATTTTATGGGAAAAAAGATTTTCGTCGAAAAATGCGGAAGGCGGCCCGTGTCCTCATTGTTTCGAGAAATTTCTTTCTTCACAATTTTTTTGTCTTATATATTAGTCGATGCAGTTTAATGTACCGATTCCGAATATACTATTTTTTTCAACTAAATATTTTCCCAAAAGCCAGAAAAACCTAAGCTTTTTGGAAATTCATTGTGCATTGTGGGAATATTTGCACAAACACAGATCAGAGATGGAACAACATTCTAACAAAATTTATAAAAAGTTTAAATTATGAAGGGTATCATCGTTACCTATCTCAAATGTTTATGTCATAGTTTAACAATCTATAGGACAGAATAATAACTGCGTGTAAAGAAAAAAAAACCACATGAAAACATAGGTTTAAATAAATCTGAATACGATGACAATTATTTCGAATGATTTGCTTTTTTTGCTATTTAAATATTAAATTTCTACTTACCGTCGTTTTGATCGTGATCTTGTTCGTCGACGATGATGATGATCTTGTCGTCGTCGTCGTCGTCGTTCACTATCATGTTTTCGTCCTGAATGACGATGTCGGGAACTAGTTCGTCGAGCAGAATCATCTGATCGAGATGATGATGATGCAGTAGATGAAGATGACGATGATATTGACGAAGATGTGGATCTTGATCGACTATTTTTTTGTCTATCACTTGAACTGTTTGTGTCATTATTTATTGATGAACGTCGACGAGATTTATGATAATATGATGAACGTGAATGTTCATCATCAGTACAACGATCAGATGAATGAGGTCGTTTATGACGCGTCATTGTTTTTTTTTTTTTTTTTTTTATATAATAACAATAATCTTGAATAAGAGTTTATTGAACAAAAAAAGAAAACAAAATAATATCCATATTTGTCTTCGTCATCTTTTTTGTCGACTGATAATCATTAGCTAAAATAAATATAACAATCCAAATGAATGTTCAACAACAACAACAAAAAAAAAAGGAAAAGCGACACGTCAACCGTTGAGAGAAGAGAATATAGAAACTAACATACAAGTGTAAATATCAGTATGAAATATAGAGTCAGAAAACGAGAACAAACAACAGAAATAATTGAAAAATTTATCTATCAATTATTTTGTTGTTTTTTCTGTTTCTAGTTTGTTTATTTTTACAAATAAGTAAATGTAAATAACATAAGCAAACAAAAAAAAAAAAAGAAAAAAAATTAGATAAATGAAAAAAAAAAAAAACTAAAGTAAGTATCCTCTAATGGTCGCCAAGGACATGGCCACGACCACCGAATGCTTGTCGACCACGATTTGCATCATTATCTTCTGCACCTGGTTGACGACGAGGAATTGGTGCTGTACCAAAACCACTAATGCCTGTTTGTTCATTTGGAAAATAACGATATCTACGAATAAATACATACAATTCATATTACAAATATAACAAGAAATTCTTTTCCTATTTTAATATACAAAATTATACATACAAAAAACTTGGTGTTTGTATTAAACGTGGACCACCAAAATCTTGTGGATATTTAAATACAAGAAAGAAATATAAATGACCAATAACAATGCCACATAATTGTACTAAAAATCTAAATAAATTGAATTTAATAAAAAATTTCCCATATACCTAAAAAAAAACATTGGGATGTGCAATTCCAGTAAACAAACTGATAGATGTTTACAGTAAAATGGTTCTCTATTGTGAATACTACCAGGATAATTTAAAAGCGTTTATTATACAGAGGTATTTATTTTAGAGAGTTAACGCAGAGTTTACTATGAAATAAATAACAATATTTCTAGAACATATATTTCTTCATTATTAGTCTTAGATAAAAGTCTGCTTATGCATTTTCTTGTTCTTCTAAAGGATTAGAATTGAAAGACTTTTCAAAAACAAAACAAAATTTAGTTTAGAAAAAAGTTCTCTAATATTGTTTATCTTGTTACTTTTGAATTAATATAAGCATCAGTTAATCCAAATTCTAATTCGTTAATTAATCAATATTATTTTTAGTCATAATTCTATTGACATACGATCATCAGCGTTACCATCGTACTCATTAGCATTAGAAGTTATAAGACGTTCACATTCATTGAATACAGATGTATCTCTATCTATGTTAATACCTTTTATATATAAAATGTACTTACTCGTAGTATCATAAAAAAAAGGTCTAACAAAAACCATTTCACACATATTCAATGTTCACATTAGAGAGAGAGAGAGATTTTCAGTACAAATCACTCCGTCGGATCTGACATCATTCACAATTAGGAGAAGTTCACTAGTAGAGATTTTATTGTACCAACAATAAATCTATTGATCGACCCATACATTATGAATATGTGGGAAGTGAGTTTAGAATTTAGTTCAGATTCGAAAAGTGTTTTATAATTCTGTAATAAAACATATTGTGAGTGTATAAGCAAGAAAGTTTGTTGAGTGTTAATATGATTTAATTGCATTTTGAAGTTTACTTAATAACTAAGATGTGTTAAGATTGTTATTCTATTTATAAGTAATAAAAAGTTGACGAAATTTATTCTGTTTAGTTGACTATATATTATACTTCAACAACATATTTTTTTGAAGTATTTATTCAGACGAACATAGAATTGATGTAGACTGTTTTTAGAAACAAGAACGCATTGCCCTACATGCGTATCGTATTATTATGATATTAGAACATAATAAATGGTTGTAAACACTAGTGAGATTGAAAGTTACGTGTTGGATCGGATTTCCTGATAACACAATAAAAGAAAAAGATGCCAGAGAAAATATAAAAATTTTCTTATTTACAGTGTTTTCTATGATTTTACTATGTGACCTCTTGTCTAAACTAATTAGTTTATCTTGTTTATAAAGCGTTTTTCCCTTTTATAAATTTTTTAAAACAAACTCAACTGAATTGTCATGTTAACTGTAAAATTGATATATCAGTATAAATTCTCGGTGAACAATTTATTGAAATTGCATATTCCTAGGAAAATTTGATTACATACGATCCTGAAATAATCCAACTGAATAACATAAGAACCCATGGCATATACATTGCTTTAAATTGCATACCAAACCAAAATGACATAATAACTTCTTTATTTAATTGGCACCAAATATACATAACACTTAGAATCAGCGCATCCATTAACACCTTTTAAATAAATAAACAAATAATTTTTATTGATTATTTTTAAATTGATATGTACTTACATATAATGATAAAATACCACCAACAATAATATTGCATATCCAAAGAAAAAACAAACAGAATATGTAATCAGCTGGTTTCCCATTGAAAGTACCTTTATTAAAAAAAAAACATAAAGATAAATAAACAATAAATTTGTTGTTGTTGTTTTTTTTTTTGTTGAATCTATACTTGTTTCAAGACGTGAACTATATTGATAAAGAAAGTAGAGATTAATTAAATAATTAAAACTCATAGGATAAAAGAGTACAGCTGTAATTAATCGCCAGATCTAGAAAGTAAAAACTCTTGTATATATGAAACACAAAATATGAAAATAATATACTTGAAAATTTTGAATAATCGGTTGTATGAAGAGAACAAGATTTTGGGGTCGAACTAAACCGAGACGTGCTGAGACAGGAACAATAATAGCACCTGTAAACCATACACGAGTTATTGGTGGAATACTTTTGTACCATTGACCAAGATCATTTGAAGCAGACATTATTATTATTATTATTTCAAAAGCCGATGAATACGACAAGAGAAAAATAGGGCAAGATTTTTATTATGAAAACGCACTACCTAAGTTTTCTCTTTTCTGCAATTACGACAATTACAAAGAATGAAAGAAAGAAAATATCATTATGATTAGTCATTAAAAATAAACCATTCAGAATTTGACTTATCAACATTTGTCACCATAGATATTTAAAAAAAATTCTTTAAAAACAAAATTAATAGACTTGAAAAAAATTTAACTTAATTTTATTAGATTCTTTTGTATATTAGTTGACAAACATATAGTGACATCTTTCGTTGACAGTTCACTTAGAAAGAAATTAGACTAGTGAGAGAAAAACTTTATTCAAGTTCTGAATTCCGTTTGATTTTCATAATGCTTGGTACCGAAAATTTTCGGAACAGTTTCGAATATCGTGCAGAATAAGACCAGTGGTGGCCCCACGAGTGGAAGAGGGTGGAAGTTGTCGTAATTGTAATACTCCCAGTCGTAAAAAGTATTTATTTTTTTCCCAGAAGAACTGATATTCTTTTTTTTACATTCTGCTACAGGAGAAATATTTTCCTTTTGCAAAAATTCGGAACATTACTCTCTCTCAGTATTGGCTACTATGAGCCACCATTGGATTGGACACGCGTTATTTTTTCAGCAATTTTCACATTTCCAAAAAAATTAATTTCTCCTCCTGAATAATCAAATTTGGAAAACTATTTTGAAAGAAGAAGAACCATGTGAATAAGAAAGTATGGAAGTTACCATAGTTTTCATTAAATGAATTGAAACCGACTACTGGAAAACGCGCAAGTTTTTATGAAATTTCTCTGTTTGCTCTTACATCACAAAAAATTTCTAGAGAAATTCCTGATGTACTGCTGAGCAACTTTTGGGTGATTTCAATAATGGATAATCCGTAAAAAAAACAGAAATTTTCAACTGTTTTCAGCAAATTTAAACATTCAAAAAAGGCAGGATGTTTCTGCTAGGAAACCTCAGTGAAAACAGGAATGACGAAATATGTTTTTCTATGTAAGTGTCAATGTAATTTATTAGTGAGTAGAACACGCTACCTTTTATAGTACACACAATTACTACAATTTCTCAATAATTTCTAAAGATTTTAATATTTTGGACGGTAGACTCTTCTTTTTCATATGGAGATGCAGTAATATCTATGTTAAGTAATGATAGTTCTTTCAGTATTTACTGAAATTTCCAAAACTTCTCAGAATTGCTCGATTTTGGGTGAGAATTCATTTTATATGTTTCGATATTTTCAAAAGGTTGCTAGTAATGTTTGTTGCTGGTTTCTGAAAAAAAGGATAGATTTCTTCTTGGGAGTGTGATAGTTGTTGAAACCATCCAGAAATAGCTTCGTCGGGGCTGAGTAATTTCAGCATTGACTTAGAAACCTCATATTAATATTTTTGAGAAAGATTCGTAATTTTCGGTTAATTTACTTCATCTGTATGATAAATTTTGGTAAATACTGTGAAATTTTAGTAGTTATTCGTAAATTTTGTGTATCTCCTTGGTTTATAGATTCTGTCGATTTGTCAAAAATTACCATAAATTGAAAAAATTTACTTTTTTTTTTGCAATCTGAACATGCCTCGGTAGATATCAAATATGATTAAATAGTTAGAAGAATTTCTTTATAAATAGATTTCAAATGCGTTTCGTAAATAGAATAGTATTATCGATTATATTCTGAATATAACCATATATCGAAGCTAGACTATTACAAATAATATACAAAATGATAATTTGAAGAGACAATAATTTTCTTTAACTTTCTGTTCTTTAAATATTTTGTCACATTGTTATATATCAAACCCAAATGAATTACCCATAATCGTACACGGTCGTCTGTCGATCAATCATGATGGAAACTGACAACTGTCTACGGTGATTGTTTACAATAATCATAAACGGTTTTTACATAGGACCATCGTTTTTCATTTAATCTTTCTCTAAACAGTCACTAATGTTAACAATCTTCACTGATTCAAAAGACTATCAAATACAATGGATTTATTCTAGTCACGTTCTACAAAGTTATTGTCCAACACACGTCATTGAACTCTGCATCTACAGCTGTGATAGACCATTTAAGAAAACAAGCATAAAATACAAGGCTATAGTCAAAACAATCCATCCATGCACGAATACTTATGAGAGTTTCGATGTAAGGTCATAGAAATAAGAATATAGGGATAAAGCTATAATCATAAAGGTATAGGTATAAGATGCAGACATAATAGTATAGGCATGGGTTGTAGGTGTAAGGTATAAGCATGTGGCTGTAAGTGTAAAGGTATAGATCTAGTGCATAAGTATACGGTTTTAGACTTAAGAATCCAAGTTTAAAGGTATATGTCTAAGGTTATAGATATAGGATATATATATATACGCGCATTTCTTTTATGATAAGGAAGCAAACGTATACTGATGGTTATCGTTTTGATTTATTACAGTTATGTCGTAAATGTTCGTGAGTACCGCTGCGCCCGTCAGAAGTGCAACCGTGCTACGACAGCAGTATCACTGTAAACGATGTTCGTATTTTACCGTATACGACATAGTATCATGCGATCGTAATACTATGCCTACCAAAAAAGTTAATTTATGGGTTGCTTACGATCGTTGTATTGATGGACCTGAGAAGTGATAATTTTGTATGAAGAATCATTTTACTGACAAAATTTTGTAGTGAATATTACCTTTGTATGATCATCTCGGTGATGATTATTATATCGAAAATGATCCTATAAATCCTGTTTATTTATATTTATATCGATAAGAATATTTTGATGAGTTTCGATTGTCTGCCTGTGTTTTATAGGAGAATAATGAACCGATCTTTCTTGAAGGCTACTTATTAGTAGAAGATTCATTTATGAAAGATTATTTTGATTCTGATGGCGTCACTTGATTCTATGCACTGAGGAAAGATGTGAATGTGATTCTTGATAAATAAGTCAAACTTTTGTTGAATTTTTCAGAGTAATTAGCATCAATAATTGTACTGAACGAAAAAAAGTTAATGATATATTGTTTATTATTAATCATTGAAGATTTTTATGCATAGTTTTATGAACATATAAATTTTCAAAGTGTGTCATTTCTCGACATTATTGATTATTTTTGAAGTATTTCAATTTTGATCGCGTTATCAACAATCCTTGAAAAAAAAAGTGATTAATCACCTTGTAAAAATAAAATTGAATCTATACAAAATTCTCTTTCTCAAATACAAATCAAGGTAAAACAGCTGATAACTGACATTAAAATTTCATCTTATTACTCAAGTGATAGCAACTATGACAAAATTATTTATTACTATCGTTTTTCTCTCAAGATAAAACCTAAGATTTTCGGTACAATAAAACAAAAAAAAAAGTTTTTTTCTCAACAAGTATTTATTACAATATATCAATAAAAAAAAATTTTAATTTGTTATTATTCCATTAAAAAAGTTGTTTGCTATTTAAAACGACGAGACATTAAAAATATTATGATGTTTATCCATACGATTATGTCGTCATATTCTTGTTTGACCTTTCGTTTTTCAGTTAACCTTCATGTCATATAAAGACTGTAAAAAAAAAAAACAAATTCTTAATCCCTGGAAATATATTCAAATAACGCTACTATAGAGAATATTAATATAAAAAGAAACTGAAATGAAACTTTAAGCTACTTGTTTATTTTTAATAATTGAAAAAAAGTTGAAAATTAAAAAAAGTAATACATCGAAAAAAAAACAGAAAAATAAAATGTTCATTCATGTTGATTGTTACCCAAACTCATAAAAGAAATAGAAAAGAAAAAAGAGAGAAACAAATGTTAATAAAAAAAAAAATATGAGGGAAAATATAATAAAAACCAGTGTGCTTTAGTTCATGATAATGTTTGATGAATTAAACGTTGTTGTTGCAGAAAATTCATATTATTCTGCTTTTTAAAATAATAATGATGATCATATGAATGAAGACGCATACCACGTGCTTGCATTATTAATGGTTCTTGCCGTGTATGTTTCGTATTAATTGTTGTTTTAGGTGATGTAACCATTGATGTTATAACTGTTGTTTGTATTTCTGTTGATGATTCTGATTCTTCATATTTAGAAGCTCCATTACCATTGACTGAAGGTATATTCAATTGTCGAGTCGAATTTGAAACAACTGTCTATAATTAAAGACAATAATTTACTTTAAAAATAAAAAAATAAAAATTTAATATCAATACAATTAATGGAAAATTTTCGGATTCTTGTCGATTATGTTGAACAATATCTGATGATGGTAATGTAGCAGATGTTTCATATGAATATATTGAAGAAGGCGGTGCTACTTGAGCATGACAATCGGATGATCGAGCTGGTTTCCACCATCGTGTTGCTGTATCTTGTAAATGTTGTTGAACACGTTGTTTAGCACTATTTGTAGTTGATGAACTCATATCTGTTGATGTTTCATTATCACCTATTTTGACTTGTGTCTGAAGAACATGTAAAATTTTTGATAAATTAGTCAATGTTATATATTGAGGATTAGATTCTGATGTTGATTGTTGTTGTTTGGCATGAGCTGTATTTGGTCGTCGAATTGTTTGTGTTGGTGGCAAATGTGTTTGTTGATGTTGTTTTGAGCGTGCTTGTTGACGTGGTTGAGGACGTGTTGTTGACGGAAGAATAACTGGGCAAATAACAGATTGTTGAATAGGTTGAAGAAGTGTTGTTGTTATTTTTTGTTGTTTAAATCTTGGATTAAGTTGTGAAAAACGTTGTCGATGAATTTCCATAACTGGTGTTAGTTTACTTGGCCAAGCTGACAAATGTGTTTTAATTTTTTCACTACCACCAATATGAATATTTTGTTCTATTGTTGGTTGAAATCCTGTTGATTCGGAATTAAAGAATGGAGAAAGAATAGATGGTTTTTTATTTTTCATCAATGATGAAGAAATACAAGGAGGACAAGAAGGAGAAAAAGAAGAATTAAAGATTGTCGTAGCAGAAGATGAAGGAAAAAAATGTTGAACAAGCATTGTGACAATAATTTTGTTGCTATTTGCAATTCTTACTGCAGTCGTCAGTCTTATTCGAGTGTCATTGTTTAGACCGTAGTGTTGCTTTTACTGCTGCCAATACTTGAAAAGAAAAGAAAATAGAAAAAAAATAAAAGAAAAGAAAAAGAACAACATTGTTGAATTATCGAATTATCGTGCACATACCTGCACAAACTTCATCTGTTTTCAATGTACATTTCATTAGTAATACTTATTATTTTTTTTGAAAATAAAAAAATATCATGACTAAAAATAAGTACTACGTCGGATCTTTTTAGTCTTTTTCTTAATTTTAGTCGTCTACAAAAAGCAAATTATCTTTAATAAGTTCAGAAAAAAAAACTTTGAATTTATTTTCCTTCAGACAAAATTGAATAGGAAATCAAGAATATGTTTATTGTTTAACTTTTAATTAAAAAACAATAATCAAACAGTTGACAGTTTTTTTTATTGATGATTTCTATTTAAATGACAAATGATGTGTTTTTATTTCTTATAAGATTCATGAGAGTCCACTTAGAAAGTCAATGTGTATTAGAATAATATGTTTAAATTTTCTTTTCTTTTGCTATTTAAAAAAGTCATTTTCTATTTTAGTCACACTAATCTACATAACCTAAAGGATTTGTACTCTCCTTTTTTCAAATATTTGAATTTTATCTTCAAGCAAAAAAAAACACTTCGATGTAATTTCTCTTTTGAAATAAAACATTGTATTTCATCTTTAAAAAATTCAATGAACATTCTCATTCAATAACAAAACTGATGTAATAAAGGGTTCTTTTATTTGTGTATAAGTACAGCATTCATTGTCAATGAAAGACCACTTCTAAATTGATGATGAATAAATTTTATAAAAGGACGTTACGACCTTCGATTTTCAATGTGAAGGTTAACTTCTTGAACATTTTACTAAGAGTCTCTTATATGGCAATAAAATTTTTATCGAACCATTTGTGATAAAAATCAAAAAGAATAACCCTAATAAAATAAAACTTTCTTCAATTCAAAATGAAATTAGAATAGAATTTAATAATAATCAACTATTCATAAGATTCATTTTTGAAATTTAGATATCTAAAACAAATACCTGTCGTCTGTCGATTGATATTCGAATTGAATGATGTTTTACATCAGTAGAATGACTTTTTCGAATGATGTGATGGTTATTGATGTGTATTGAAAAATTAATATATGTGCGACACTTTCTTCCAATTTTTTTTCTTCTTTTTTCTTCTTTTCTAATTTGCATTAAAGCACAAATAATGTCTGCAGCTACTCGATATTTTATAGACTTTCAAGTTGCTAACCATCTTTCATGACGGCAATAATCAATCATCATAATCACACAGAAGCTATTACTTTTCATCACCTTTCTTCTTTTATAAAAAAAAAAAAAAAAAAAAAAAAAAAAATTTTGATTGACACTTGATTTCTTTTTTTATTCATAATAAATTAACAATCATAACAACAAAAAAAACGAAGCAAAATCTACTGAGCAAGTATCGCTTGTGCACGAAAACCACGTCCAGCAGTATTTTGATCTGATCGAAAAACAATCATTATATAATTTTTTGAACTAACAAATTGTAAATTATTAGAATTAGCACCTGTTCCACAGTAAGTTGGACCTGGTTGTCCTTTAATAAAAATTAAAAAGAGCAAACAAAAATTAATAAGAAGAAAAATAATAAATAAATATACCAAGATGATAATAACGTATTTCAACAGAATCATCACAACTATTTCTGTTATATGTCGGTATATTGAAATCTGTAAATTGAAGTATAACTCGATAAGTTTGTGGTGCTCGAATGTAATAATAACATTGAGCATTTGTTGGGTAAAAATTTGGATAATTTGGTGATGTTATTGATGCAATTGTATTCGTTGTTGTTAAATCAATAACACGACTACAACCTATGATTTTCAAGAAACAAAAAAGAACAATATTTATTATCGCAAAAATAAATGAAAAATTGCTTATACACACACCTGGGTTAATTTGTCGTCGTTTTCGACGACGTTGATTATTTATTTTCTTTGGCACTATGAATAAAGAATAAAATCATTTTAAAGTTTCTTTTTAAATACATACCACATGCTCCATTGATAATACTAATATCATCAATAGCAATATAATCATATTCAGATGTTGTTGATTCATATGCAAAAATAAGTTTATATTCATAAACATTTGAAATTGTTCGTTGAATTTGTTTCCAATTTTTGTCTATGGAATTAAAATAATTGATGGTTATAAATATGTAAAGAAAATTAGCGGCTGATTCGAGTTTTTTTTTTTGAAAAACAATTCGCCTTATTAACTAACGAGGGAAGATCCCCAGCTGATCAATCGCTTTTGCGTTGAGGCTATGTGCATTATGTAGGTACAAAAGAGCTATGAATACCCTGAAAAAAGTTCGGGCTGCTAGCTTATTGCTACGGAGATACTGCACTTGTACGGCATGTTTTTAAATGAAAGCTATGGTTTCCCTCAGGAACACCGGAAAAAATGATTTTCGAATTTCGACTTAAAACTCTATATATAAACAGACCTTACCGAGAATAGTATTTTGTGAAACTTTCAGGTCTTTCTATTTGTTCTTATCCTGAAATGACAACATCAATTATTTTAATTCCATAGACAAAAATTGGAAACAAATTCAACGAACAATNTGTTCCTGAGGGGGACCACAGCTTTCATTTAAAAACATACTGTAGAAGTGCAGTATCTTCGTAGCAATAAGTTAGCAGCCTGAACTTTTTTCAGAGTATTCATAACTCTTTTGCACCTACATAATGCGCATAGTCTCAACGCAAAAGCCATTGATCAGTTGGGGACCTTCCCTCGTAAGTCTTGCAATGGAACAGATGCAGCTTGGCGAGCTCTATATCGAATGATTTATGTTTCACTTGAGGGAAAATAAAATTTTATTGATCAGAGTTTCTAAAGTATTACCGACTGTTACTGTATCCTATAAAATGTAACTGACTCAACGAATTTTGTTCAACTAAATTGAATAATATATTTAACGATCAATAAGCGCTTTGTAACTGTATATGAGACAGATAGGAATTTTTTGTGAAGAAAAGATTTCGTGATTGAATCTTTTTGTTATTAATTTACATCAAGATGTCTACGATACTGAAATCATAGTTAGTTTTATCCAATTTTGGTAAGCATATTTCAGTCATTTATATGTTTATAACTGTTATTAAGTTTCAAACTGCAAAATGATGAGAAAATCTAAAATGTGTGGGTATAGACTTTCTCTTCACTCACACTCTACATGTAACAACGATGGAAGACAATGCTAAGTTTTGGATTAAAATTATTCATAGACCTTGACTACTGAAATTTTATTTTCATTCGAATGAAATATATGCCATTCACGAGAAAGGAGTTATGGATGTTTTTATGAAATTTTCATTGAAAGCAAGGCATTGACGAAAGATCCTAAATAAATAGTTTCGATTTGAAATGTGATCTAGAGCCATATTTTATAACCATTAGATTCTCGTAAAAGTTTCAACGAAATGAACATATCTTTCTCGAGATATTCGATTTCGAAGTCGATTCGATTATTGTGTTCTCTTATGGTAAATCAGTGCTGTTTTTGAAACTTGAATATCTTGAGAAAGATATGTTTATTTTCGTTGAAACTTCTAGAACAAACTAATGACTATCAAACATGCCGCCCCTATAGGTCATATGTCCAGATTTTTTAAAACTTGTTCTAATTTTGCCGAAATTGTCTCATAGCCATGATATGAAGTCGAACGAAATCAGTTGATACAATCAATGGAACAAATCATTTTCTGAAAAAACTCAATTCGACTTCTAATTTGCTTTACATGTTATCGATTTACCTTGATCGTTCCAATTAAATGTAAATGAATATTCATTTGGATAATCATTTGTTTTATTATATGCAATGGTAAGTTTACCAGTACCTTGTCCATATATGGAATACCAAAATTGTAAGCAATGACTTTTTTCATTCGACGGTTTCAAATGAGTAAATGGACCTAATTGAAATTTTTCTGAATCATTCAATCGATTTCTAATTCCAGTTATAATAAGATATTTTCCATCTATTAAAATAAAAGAAAACAATAATTTTAATAAACAAATAAAACATAATAATTCCTATATTACCTCCAAGTGTATGATCATTAATAGGTTGAATTTGATCTGCTTGTATTCCTTCTTGTATTTGCCAATTATTATTATTAATTCTTATTGGACATAATTCATCAGCAAGATCAAATGTACAACTCATAATAATATCAGCTTCTAATGAAAGCAAAACAAAAAACAACAACATTTCAAAAATATTTCGGAAAAAAAACACAATTTTTTTATTCATACGTCTGCATCCTGGATTTCGACATGATTCGATTTCGAACGATTTACCTCTTAAAAAAGAACATGGCTCTGAACTACCATCGATAACTGTGCTCGAACATACACGTGTACGAACACGAACACCACTACCACAAGATTCACTACAATTAGACCAATCACTCCATTCAAGCCATCGAACACCATTATTCGCTGAGAAAAGGAAAGAAAAACAGATATTGTCAATAAAATAGAATAGTAAATAAAAATCACATAGATTTACTGAAAGTTTCACTTGTCGAAGTTTTTGACAATGGCATTGACATTGTTTGAGGTTTTTCTTTTTCTATTGAATTAAAATTAAAATTATTTTCTGGAAGATGCCAAGGTGTTGCTTTAATCAAAACAAGAAAAAAAAAATATCAAAATATGTTAATGAATTATTTATTAATCGATTAAATAAATAAAATTAATTATACTTAAATATCCTTGTAATAAATTACATTGTTCACCATAAAAACCATCTGGACATGTACAATGACAATGTTGATTAACATAACCTTCATTTTCACATATAGGCTTTGTTTTACATATATCATCACAATGATAACCTAAATTTGCTAATTTTTTATCAAGATATGATAATGATGCGCGTTGACCCATGAGAAACGTACGTCGATTATCACGAGCTCCCATACCATTCTAAAATTATTATTATAAAAAAAAAATTTTCAAATAAAATAAAATCATTTACTGTAGGATAATAATGCATTATAGAACCAAGATCATAAGGTTGACCATAATAATCATGTATTGGAAGTAACATTATCTCATATTGTGTTGCTTCACTTGTTGACATTAAATGAAACTGTATATTTATTTCTTGATCACGATCTGCACGAGCCATTTCATGATAAAAACCAATAACATGTCCTAATTCATGAATAGCTGAACCAAGTGGACAAGTTACAGGTAAATAAAGAGAATAAGTTGGATAATAACCATTTGAAGCTGGTTTGTAACCAACAAATGTGGCACATCTATAAAGAAATATAATTCAAAATAATTAAAATTGAAATTAATAAACAAACCCTGATCCAGTATCTTCAACGATAATTTTTGCACCTATATTCCAATGATGTGATGGATTATAAGGTTCAAAACGAATACATGTATGTTCATGCCAATGTTGAATAGCATTCAATACATTTTGTTGTACACGATAATCTATTTATAAAAATAAAAAAAAAACATTGATAGATCTTGTTTCAAATCAAACAACTTACCTATTCCTGATATAAATTCATAAGGTACGATTCCGAGTGGCCATCGATTACTTAGACCAAAAATATTTGTCTCAGAAATTATTTTACGTTTGAATCTATTTATTGAAATAAAATATAAAGAAAAACAAAAATAAAAATTTTATTCGAATATAAATATATTTGTCTTTTAGAAATTTACCGTTTCGAACGAGAAGATTGAATTTCGTCAGTCGAAAAAAGAATATCACCATGAGTAATATATTTAGGCTTATTTCGATTTTTATCATCTGACTGTAATTCAGGCATTTCAACTTGATCAGCAGGTCTTGGTTGAACAATCTTAAAGAAAAATAAAATCAATTTATAATAGAAAAAAAAATACTAAATAAATAACTTACAGGTTTTGATATTATACGACCCTTTTGAATAACATTATGGCCAAACTTAGGAGTTGATTTTCTCATTATTTTCATGTTTTGTTCTTGATTTTCACATTGAATAAATGTAAGGCATATTAGCAAAATCAAATCTTGATAAAGTAATTTCATTTTCGTAGTTTCGATGAAAAATACACAAAGATAAATGAAATATCAAATTGGTTACCACGAGTATATACTAACGTACCAGATGATAAAAAAAAAAATAAGACAAATTAATAATCAACAAAATAATATTCAACCTGTTTCTATTGATGATTGCCTATTATTTATACGAGAAAATGTACTGACAAAACAAGGGCAAATATCATAACAATATGGTACGCTCCAAGGATGTTAAAAGCTGATGTAATGACATTGTTCTTCTTGCTGTATACAATTTTCAAAGGTACCCAATTTGAAAGTTCAATTAAATTATTGAACTATGGTTCATGTATTCAATGTTACTTTTCATGTATGTTACGATTTCGTAACACTTGCAATAAGAGAAATGCCCTGTGTCTATGTATGTCTGTGTGCTTTGGTGAAATACTTGAGTACTAGATATAATTGAACTCAATTATTGAATACTTGAATTTCAGCGTTTTAAGTTTCAAGTATTCAACAATTGAATTAAACTTTCAAGTTCGACATGTACACTACTTCATCGAGAATGTTACGAGATTTTAATATACAAGAAAAGCAACATTAGATACTTGAACCGTAGTTCAATAATTGAATTACACTTTTACATTTGACACGATTCTATTATTCATATTATATTGATCGTTCTCTTTCATTAGAATTCATTTATTTGTCCATTGACATATTCGTTGCAACAATCAAAAATGCATCATTATAACTTTTCGAGAACAGAAAAAAAAACATTTTATTGTTCAAAATTTCGAATATACAAAGCAGTCATCATTCCATAATATGTCGGACAAGAAGAAATGAAATTTGTTAATAACCAATAAGAAGATGGATCGATTGGTTTCAATGAATCATCTATTCGATTTTGAATCAAATCATTTTCCATTATACCTTGCATTGTCAATGATCCAACATAACCACAACTAAGAGCAAATTTTTCTATATTTCCAGCTTTATTAATTAATAAGTTTTCATCTAAACTATACAAAACATTTTCAGAATTTGAATTTTTTCCTGTTATCCAATCATAAATAATTTCATCAAATAATTTTGCATACTCAGTACCACATTGTGGAAATCTTGACAAACATGATGGATCAGGTTGATAAATTGTTGGTAATTCTGAAGACCATGCATGTGTATGAGCTTGATCACCACTTATAACAAGAAGAATTCGTTGTGATGATTTATTACACCATGATCGAATTAATCGTCCAAATTTTACAAGATAAGATCGTTGTTCTTCAATAAACGATTCTCGTTCTTCAACTAAAAAAAAATAGAAATTTTTTCTTTTCATTGCCAAAATAAATAATATTTTTATACTTGTTGTGCCTTTCATTGGTTGTGCAATAATAATTACTTTAGGTTTTGATTGAATTGAAATATGTTTTTGTGTACAATTATTTGTTTGTATTTTTAATGCTAATTGATATAAAGCAAAATATAATGGTACAACTTCACCCCATCGTAATGGAACACTTAAACCACAAAAAGCTAGCATTCCATCTACTCTTGGTAAACTTTCCTTTAGATATAAATATAAATCTTGACATGTTTCACCGTCTAAACTAACATCAACACTATAATCAGTCCAGTTATTATTCCATTCAGCATTTCCACTTGCTCTACTATTTGTTACAGCTGGTTGATAAATATTAATAGCTTGATGAAGATTTATTCCATGAGGAGTTAAAAGAATAATAAGATCAGGATTTAATTCAGATATTTTTTCACTTATTTTCATACAAGATAAATAAAGAGAGTTAACATCATCTGGAAGATCTTCACGATTTGGATCTAAAAGCATTGTACCATGAGGAAGATAGGCAACTCCGATCAAACCAGAAGAAGTTGATTTTGCCATATTCTAATAAATTATAAGTTTGTATCAGAAAAAAAAAATAAAATAAAATAAAATAAATTCTGATAAAAATAATGTCGTCAAATTTGTCAATGATCATAGTTACGTATCTGTTTAAACGATGTTCAATTATTACTGTAGTTCTTAGTAAAAGATTTTCTCATGAAGTTAAATTGCCAAAATTTACTTTATTTACTTATAAGTCTATTCGGATTTGATTTGCTAGTTTTATAACGCTTGAAATATGATTACTGCCGCTATCTTGATAAAAAAAGCAAAAAACAAAAGCAGATGTCATTCATTTACATATTTTGTTATCATCTATATTTTTGTTTTCGGGTTAAATATAACAAAAAAAAGGTAAGGACTTGTGTATCGATTTGTCATTGCGAAAATAGAAGAAGTTGATTAAGGCCCCCCCCCCCCTCAAAAATTGATCTCAGCCCCGGAACCTCCAAACAGGCTGATCTTTGGAGGTTGTGGTGGGCCGGTGATAGGGCGCACGTGATAA